AGGTGGTAACACTCTGGTATAGATCGCCAGAAGTATTGCTGGGGTCAGCTCGCTACTCAACTCCAGTTGACATTTGGAGTATAGGCACCATATTTGCAGAATTAGCAACCAAGAAACCACTTTTCCATGGGGATTCAGAAATCGATCAACTCTTCAGAATTTTCAGAGCTTTGGGCAGTCCCAATAATGAAGTGTGGCCAGAAGTGGAATCTTTACAGGACTATAAGAATACATTTCCCAAGTGGAAACCAGGAAGCCTGGCATCCCATGTTAAAAACTTGGATGAAAATGGCTTGGATCTGCTCTCGGTAAGGAGACCCTTTATACTGACTTCAGCATTTTTGATTCTGAATGTGCTCAATTCATTTCCTTTACCTGGGAAATAGAAAACCAACATATATTGAGCTAGGCACATAACTATTACGCCTGTTATGTTTATTGTATTACTAGCTCCATTTTAGATTCCAAGAAACACGAGTGGTTTTGAGAGGAGGTTTTAGCATTAGTTGTTGTTTGTTTGAGTTTTTAATCTGTTAGGTAGCTACAGATGCTCTGTGAAGGAGAGGCCAGGCTTAATATGCCTTAATTGTTTTTAAGTAGCTGGTTCGTAGTAGCCTTCCTTTCTAACTTTTTATCTCGGTGTTCACAACTTTTTAGTTTATCTGAGACATAGGTGTTTTCCTTATTGCTTGATATTTTTAGTTATTGAAGCCTTTTACTGCATGAACTCATGAATTTCTCACTTTGTGCCTCATATGTATATCAGAAAGGTTAGTAGAAGGACTAACGTAGTTCTTAAAGATCTTTCCCCTTTACTACATTGCCATTCCCAAGTAATAGTTGTTTTCTTTAAAAGCAAGACAAAAAAATCTATTAGGATAAAATAAATTGTCCTAGGTAGGCCTTTAAGAAGGTAGGCTTTAAGAAAATTGTTTTAGAACAGTATTTAAATATTGAGCTTTTAGACAGAACTAATTTTTATGAATCTCAGCTAATGTAATGACAGAAGAAAATAAGGTTTGTGTAGGTTACTGAACAAAAAAAATATGTATATTGCTCTATTATCCTGTAAACCTTCTAATTGGTCTTTGGGCTCCTTTTAGAATTTATAAATCATTATGCTACCGAATTCAGCTCAGATTTCCAAATTGCTTTATGCTTTAACTAATAATTAAGTGAATTAGTGAAGTCCAAAGTCCTTTATCTGTCATTCACATATTTTATATTATCAGTTGTTGATTTGACTTAGAAAGTGTTCCTTATCCTGGGCCCAATCTGTCTTTTTAACGTCTGTAATTTTTGAACACAAAGAATTTCACTTCAGTCAATGAAACAAAAATCAAATACTGTAAATCATGGTTCCTTAGTCTAGCTGGTATTGACCTCTTGGACTGGATCATGTTTTGATACTAGGAGCTGTCCTGTACGTTACAAGATATTTAACAGCATCCCAGTCCTCCATCCCATAGCTACCAGGATCATATTCCTCTCACTTGTGACAACCCAAAATGTCTCCAGACACTGTCAAATGTCCCCTGACAGGCAAAGTCTCACCCAGATGAGAACCACTGCTGTAAATCCTCAGACTTCGTTTTAGATTTAAACTCCTTAGTTCTAAGAATTTGGGCAAGTTACTTAACCCTTGAGCCTCAGTGGGACCAGTACTTAGCTTTTGTGGTGAGGATTAAGTAACATCATATGTGCCAAGCACTTAATATAGTGCTTGTTACATGATAAGAGCTCAGAGGGTTACTAGATAGTAAAAGTATATCTAGTCTGCTTATTGATTTGGTTTTCTTTAAGATTAATGTTTAAGATAAAATTTAAGATCAATATTGGGGCGCCTGGGTGGCTCAGTTGGTTAAGCGACTGCCTTTGGCTCAGGTCATGATCCTGGAGTCCCGGGATCGAGTCCCGCATCGGGCTCCCTGCTCGGCAGGGAGTCTGCTTCTCCCTCTCCCACTCCCCGTTTGTGTTCCCTCTCTCCCTGTGTCTTTCTCTGTCAAATAAATAAATAAAATCTTTAAAAAAAAAAAAAAATTTAAGATCAATATTAAACTTTATACAGTCTTTTCTGGTGATGTGTAAATTAAAACTTTAATACTAGGTTGTCTGACTATAATTCATTTACTGACTCATTTTAACTATGTTTATAACACATTGTGCTCTGGTTTTGTTTTTATTTGGAACTTGCTGGAAGCTACATTAGAAACCACTACAGTTAATTGCCACCATTTCAACAATGTTATAAATAACTCAGATGGCCATTTAATTCTCAAAGTAAATATAATTAACTAGATATCTTTCTTAAATTTATGTCCTGGTTTTAAAGCTATCTCTGAATGCTTGTGTCTTAAAGCATGATTTGTAGCAAAAAGAGGTTGTTGAGATATCTGTAATTTAAGGAATAAGTTATTTTAGAGCTAGAGGGTGAAGTATGGAGGATGAGGCATTTATGTGGTTTGGTATTGAACTAATGGAAATGTTCATTTAGTTGTTTTTTTTATTAAAATTATTAACTTATGGCTTATTGGTAGAGAAATTAAGGCTTTATGGAAATTTTTTTTATGGTTCATTTCTTAATAAAAACCTTTTTTGCTTTTTATCTCCCCCCCACACCCCCAGAAAATGTTAGTCTATGATCCTGCCAAACGAATTTCTGGCAAAATGGCACTGAATCATCCATATTTTAATGATTTGGACAATCAGATTAAGAAGATGTAGCTTTCTGACAAAGAGTTTCCACGTATCAAGAACAGATAGTTATATTTTTACTGCTAACTTTGTCTGTTTTTGTTTTGTGTATTTTTCTTTTCTTTGTTGTAAACTTAAGCTGTACTTCATCTTCTGATTTCAAAAGTGTAACTTAAAAATGTAAATATTGTTCTATATGAATTTAAATATAATAATTCTGTATATGTTTATAGATCTCACTGTAACAACTTTGTTACCATAATAAAACTATAAATCTAGTTTTGATGTCAGGAATTGCAAAAATTTTGAGTTAATTTAAATCATCGCAAACCTTAGAGTCTGGTTTTCCTGTAGTTGGAACCACTAAAATTTAGGAAAGTGTGCTAAGTTCAAAGTTCGTAAAGCTTTGAAGTGTTTTGATACTCTGAGTGTTTGAATTTTGTCAGTTTCTTGCCAATTGGTAACTGTTCAACCTGCCTAAAGATGAGTTTTTTCTGCTGGTATTTCAATTTATGACCTAAATGTTTAAGCATTCAGAATGAGAAGACTATCCAGATTTGAGAAATGATGCTAAATTTATAGAGGTTTTCAGTAACTTATGAAACTAACATTAGAGCATGCCAAAGTTTTCTAAGTTTTACAGTCAGAGATGAAGGGCTGCTCACAGCAGGGAAGAACAGTTTAGATAATTTATGAACTAGCCTAATTTTAGGTAGGTTATGAAAGTTATTTGTCTAAGTGAATTCTTATGCCTTGGTCAGAGGTAATAACTAGAAAAAGGAGTTGCTCATCTTGGCTTTCAAGTCTGACTTAAAATCTATTTGCAAATTTTGACATAATTTTGCCTTTTAGCAGCCTTAGAAGGTTCTAATATGCAAGTATTTAGCTAAAATCACTAGCTTTAGGAATTGTTAAATTAATAATGCTGTTTGTTGTGATTCCTATCTATAAGGAGCCTAATTTAAATTATTTGTTATAGCCAAGAGAAATTTCTATAGAAGTTTTAAACTTTTTTGTGTACATCTATCTGTTATCTAACTATAACCATCTATTTTTCTTCCCGGTTACCTAAGGCTGGAATGGGCATTCCTGTGTTATTGGTTGCATATGTAATGTGTGATCTACTTAATCTATATTGTCTTGGAATTTTTGCACTCTGTAGGAGAAAGTGTGGTTTTTTTTTTTGGCAATGGGATTTGTAAGATGAGAGGTTTGGTGGCCTTGTTCTAGGTCCTTTGGTAGAAGCCAGCCTGCAATAAGAGAATGCAGAACCTAGAGATGGAAGTTGTTTGGGGTCACATTGTAAAGAGTTACGATTTCATGGTGGGAATTTGGTAAATGAAAGGTCACACAAAAGATTTAATTGAGATGGTGAAATGACATACCTACAGACTTGAGTTTTCTTACCTATAAAGTGTTGAACTGGCTCTGTTTTTCAAATTGTGGATTGCAATCCTATAGTGGTTCAGGACCATTCTTAATCATGACCCTCCCCAGTGTAGACTAGAAACTCAGTGTATCTTCTATAATTATTTCTTGGTATTTTGGTTTCAGTGATGTATAGATACATGAGGGTTACAAGTGTTTGGGGCTTTGTGGATTTGGTAGAAGCAGCATGCAGCCTCACTGTGATTGCTCCATGAAAGTCAGTAAGTCATCAATTTAGAACCGACTTTGTGGACCAGGGAAATGAGATGGTAGAACAAGTGCGATCAACTGCTATAATGAGCATCCTACTTATTTGTGGAGTCCGACGAAAGTGTTTATGTCAGCTTCAGTGGCTGGGTGAAAAGCTACTGAATTGGGTCCTCCCTCATCTCATGCATATTTTTTAATTGGGTTGTGCTATGGTACTTCTGATTAATTTTAAAATGGAATGTGTCTCTGGGCCAGTAATTCTTAAATCTGTTGTACACTAGAAACACCTGAGACTAATTCTAGTCCTACCATGAACAATTCTGAAGTTGAAAACTGGGAAATGTGTCCTGGAAACTATTTTTTTCAGAAGTTGCCCAAGCTGATTCTGATGCCAGTTATCAGTCAGTGGGGAGTTTAACGAATTTGGACCTACATCTAGTTTTAGTTGTCTTAAAACTTCATGGCATCATGCAGTATCTTTAACTTGTTCTATTTCTGTTTCAGTCTGTACTCTTTAGTGAGGGGAGATAGCTATATATTTTGTCACCAGTGTAAGATTTTCATATACTTGAGTATATAGCACTGTGACAATTGCCATATGTTAGCATTGTCCCTAGTCTTTACAGGAGGGTTTTTTGGGGTTTTTTTGTTTGTTTTTTGAGTTTAAATATATAAGCAGTTAATACAGAGGTTAATACATAATGTACAATAAAATCTTGGGGACATACATATATAAATTTAATGTTTTGGGGAAAATGATAGAATTTTAGAGTTGAGTTAATAAGATGGCCCAATAAGAGGTCTTTTGGGGACTTGGATTAACAGGCTTAAATAACTGTTAAATAGCAAAATAATTTTTAACTGGAAAATTCTGTTGAATGGAACAAACTTTTTATATCGGTGCCGTTAGCAAACTGTACTTTATAATAGGGTCAACTTCAGGCCCATCGCTTAAGTAATTGCCACATTCAAACTGGAGGCATTGCATAGGACCATAGAGACATTTTGCAGGTGGATGGAACAGAGACAACTAGGAATGTGTGTGGAGTGAAGAGAGTAGTGGGCATTGTTTAAATAGGTTTGGGCCAAAATGGATAGAGTATTGAATGACTAAAGGGAAAGGGAAGGATGGAGGGATAAAAAGTAAAGACCTAGAAGAGGGAGAAGTATTTCTGACTTAAAAGTAGTATCTAAAAGAAGGCAAAGTTGGGGTAGTAATGGTATTGGAAAGCATTGTAATTTTAGTTCATTTGGTGAAGTTTAATGAGGTGTTTGGAAGCAAAAGTAGATCTTTTAATCCTGTGCCTTAGTGTAAATTTCAACTTTTTAAGATATCTTAACTTCAGAAGAGGGGCGCCTGCGTGGCTCATTCGATTAAGCGTCTGCCTTCAGCTCAGGTCGTGATCTCAGGGTTCTGGGATCGAGTGCCGCGTCATGCTCCCTGCTCAGTGGGGAGTCTGCTTCCCCCCTCCATCTGCTCCTCTCCCCACTTGTGTTCTCTCTCTTTCAAATAAATAAAATCTTTAAAAAAAAAACCCAAAACTTCAGGGACGCCTGGGTGGCTCAGTCAGTTAAGTGTCTGCCTTCAGCTCAGGTCATGATCCCTCTCTCTCTGACAAATAAATAAAACATCTTTAAAAAAAAACCCCACAAAACTTCAGAAGAAATGTATTGCGAATCATACAGTTGGTTGTTGAAGAGGAGAAAAGGTATCACAATAGTAATATTCCTTTAGAATGCTGAAGGTCTGCTTTAGCAATTTGCATTCGGATCTCCTGGAGAGCTTGTTAAAACCGATTTCTGGTCTATGCCCAGGTTTCAGTAGGTTTTGTGTGGCAATGAATATGCTTTCTTAACAAGTTCCCAGGTGATGATGCTGATGGTTCAGGGACCACAGTTTAAGAATCACTTATGACTAGTACTCAGAATTGCAAAGAACTGAAGAGAAGCCACCTATTTGGCCCACGTGTTGGGTTTGTAGAGGGAAGTACAGGAAGTGCAGAAGGAGAAATGGACCTAAAGCCAGGCATACATTTAAAGGTCGAACTGGAATTTGAACCTAAACCTTCCATTGTCATTGTTGACAAAAGTGAATGCTGTGATGTAAAGAACTGGAGAGATTAGGGTTTGGCTCCCAGTTCCGCCGTTTCTGTTTGTGACCTTGCATAAGTTACTCAGTGTCTGAGTCGGTTTCCTCACTTGTACAGTGGAGATCACAGAACTTATTTATGTAAATATATGTAATATATTTATATAATATAGAAATAGGATTGTAGCATCGTCAGGAATAGAGATGGGCTTGCCAGGCATCCTGCATATATAGGACATGTCCATTTTTGCCAGGATGCTCTAAATGCCCTTTTTTTCGATATATTACAAAAAATTGGGCCGTTAGTGCTATTTTTCTGCTACAGTAATTGCTACTTAAATCCATTAAATAGCAACACTAGGTGGGGGAGAGGGTGTAGGTGAGGTTCCTAGCACGTGGTAATTTCTTTGCACGCTTAGTTAACAGTTTTTCTCGTTCCCTCTTAAAGCACTTCTTTTACTTTCTCCTTCACTGAAGTGTAAGTCCAGTGAGGGCAGGGGCCATGTCTTGTTCTTCATCCTCCCAGCCCTTGGTCTAGTACCTGGAGCATTAGACATGATTCCAGTCCTTTAAGTTTGCCCAGAGGTAGTGGCACCTCGCCTTCAGTTATAATTGGACATGTGTTGTGAGCAGCCACTATGCTTTACGTACATTTCCTCTGTGTTTTCACAGCAACCTTGTAAGGGAACAAGCATTCATTTTACAGATGATGAAACTTAAGATTTGTAGAACCTGCCGAAGTAACCTACCAAAGACCACAAGGCCCGTAAATGCGAGAGCAAGGAGGGATCTGGGCTTTTGGCTTCAAACTGTTCTCTTTCCATGGCATCATGTTGGTTCCCAGATAAATCCATAAAGAAAACATGTATCTCGTTTCAAATTTAAGAAATCACTGAAGAAGGCAGGCAAATAACTAAAGCCAAGGCGGCCGAGATGCCAAGAAGCACCAAACTCAGGGTTGTCAAAACCAACACGATGGGCCTGCAGGTCTCTTCATTAGCACCAAAGCTCCTGACAGGTTATCCAAAACCTCCATGTCAAGGTTGAAAGGACCAAGGTCACCAGAGGAAGATAACAGCTTTCGATCTAGTCCATTTTCCTATCCCGTTTTAGGTGGCAGTATCCCCTTGTATTGGGGGAACCCACTACTGTAGCATGTGGTCCTATTGGGGTTCTTAATTCTGGCTTTCCACTCCTTGTTCATAAGGATGACCCAGATTGGATCAACTATAGTATGCCACAACCCAGCTGCAGTAATTGGTTCAAGGAGTGGACAAGTGACCTAAACAAGACCCCTCAGGGTCCCTTTTGCTATAGAAACCTTGAGAGAATGAAGTGCTCTTTCTGCTGGTATTTTTAACTTGGGAGAACATGACTGGAATCCTGAGCCATCTTCACCACAACTCGAGCTACCTGAGCTGACAAAGTGATAAATAGATTCCTGGGACCATGATGTCCCTGCTTCTGGTCCTGAAGCCCTGGTTCCTGCAGGGCTGCTTTAAAATTGTATGAGCTACTCAGTATTCCTTGTAGGTGCAGGGACTGTGGGTTTGGTTTTGTTCTAGCTTAATCTAGTTTGAGTTGGGCTTCTGTTGTTTAAACCTCAGAGTCCTGACTAATTTCCCTGTCAATATAAAGGCAACTGGATGAATAATTTTAAAGGAGCCCTCAATTTAAGCACCCTTGTAGTTATAAATTCCTGCATAATTAAATATCTTCCTTCTTTGAAAGCTCTTTATTGCTCATAATCATAGTTTTCACTGCAGCTTCTAGTACTGATTGTGTAGGATAGTACTGATATAAATGTATGCC